AGCTTAGGATTAGAGATGGCTTCACTATCAATGAGATAGAACTCGTGCATGACCCAGTCGGTTTTTATGGGTTTAGGATGACAACGTCGGTAGAATGTCAAGGTCCTCTTCTTCCCAATGACAGCTTTGGACTGCCGAGCCCTGATCGCACGCTCCTTGCCTGTGATTTTCCAGTGGCCTCCTGGTGTAGTTCGGTTGGACCGGGTGCTGTTGATGTACTTGTAATCCTTTGGGCTGAAGAAGTACCACACCATATCGTCGGATGCAATGCGAGCTGCAAATTATAACGCAAAAATAAAAAAAAAAAAACAAAAAAAAAAAAGGAACGAACCAAGAATTGAGGCCAACACAATTGAAGTCTTGACAAACCAAGTACTAAAATCAGAGCAATTCTCCCTTGGGGAACTTATACATGATTGCTAGTGAGAAATTCAACACGAAATAAATTCAAAACAAGAAATTGATGCCAACCAAATTCAGTTCTTCAAAAACAAAGTACTAAATAGAAAACACTACATTTTTTGGGAAATTTTTCATAACAATGGATTGTTAATGAATAATGAGAAATAAACAGTGAAGAAAGAGTGAGACAAATTTAATAATTACCAGCCAAATCCCAAGGGTCGAAGTTGCAGACATCGAATTCAGGGATGTGATCACATTTGAAATCCTTGTCCTGTTTCTTGAGCTTCAAGTAATGGTCCACCAGTTCCTCCGGAGTGGGGTGGAATCTGAACCCTACTGGGTCTGATGCCCCTCCTCCTCTTGTTTTTCTGTTGCATCCCAATGTTCCCATATGTTTCTCCTCTCTCTGTGTTTTTGTGAGTGTGAAGTTTGAACTGAGAAGAAGGTGCGATTGCAAGTAGTTTATGACTCACTTCTGAATACTCCAGTAGTATTTGATTCCAACCAATCAAGTCCTGCACTTCCCAAACAAGTCTGCTGACTTGCCACGCCTTTTTTTGATAATTTTTAGTTTTTATATTTGTTGTGCTTTTGATCAACCGCTCTTGGAAGGGTATTCTTTTAGCTTTACCCTTTACTGGGAGACAACCTCTATTGAAAGTTTAGCCTTTTTTTTTTTTTTTTTTTTTTCAACAAACGACGTTAAGTGGTAAGTTTAACCTCACAATGGGTTAGCAATAATATAGTTCAAATTCGCCTTTTGCGAGAATTAAATCTAAAACCTCCCACTTACAAGTGATGAGAAAATCACTAAATCGTAGTACTAAATGGCTTGGAAGTTTAGCTTTTAAAATACTTTTAATTTTGGAATCTGACCAAAGTCATAAAATTTGTCAGAGTAATGTTACACTTACCACATCTTTTATACTATATTTGTATCATCTCTCTAAGAGATGTAGAACTCACCAATATATGCGAGTCTCATCTCTGTTAAAGAAATAGTACAAAATGTGATATGAAAATTTTGGTAGAAGTAACATTTTTGTAATAGAAATGATTTCTACACAAACAATACTTGGCTACCCAAAAGATAAGTATGAATTCTCACTCAAGAGTTTTTGTTTCCAATTCATATAACTGTGTGTGTATAATCATAACCTTTCATATTATTAATCATTCTATATAGACTATCTCTGCTAAAATTTCAATTAAAACAACGTTGTTTAGTTATTGAACAATATAAAATTAGATGGACACAAATGGTAAGAATCATTACGAAATGTCGATCTATTTGTTACAGTTGATTAACTAAACGACTTTAGTTTTAATTCAAATATTTGCAAAAATGATCTTTATAAAGTGATTTATAATATGAACTATTCCGATCACGAAGAATTTTCAGTAAGTGTTCGTACTTATTCTTGAGTAATCAAACATTGTTCTTTCTACACACTCATTTTTTTTAAGTTGCACACCTTTTTTTTATTCATGGATATTCTGTAACTTTTTAATGTAATGATCAAAAATAAGTATGGATTGTGCGTGTGGTGAAAAATAATGTGTTGAAATCTTCGGTAACTAATATGGAGTGATTTCTACCCATCATTTTACACCTTGTGCATTCTCACTTAATTTTGGTATTTGATTCTATTTTAATTTGTTCAATTCAGTGACTAGATAAGGAGTTTGTAGAAAGTGAAAATGTGTGTAAAAATCGTTTTTGACGAGTATGTTTGAAGAGAGTACTACGAAAAATGTAAGTTCAAGTTGGTCATCCATGGATTTCAAATTTAAAACTGCATTCATATGTACACTCCTAGTGCCGTAAGCTCCACTAAAACAAATATTTCACTCAAAAAGGGCCAAAACCTTTACATTTCTCGATTTTTTCCAAAAACTAGCCAAGAAACTCAATCTTGAGAAATTGACGGTATTACTTTTTAAAGTGTATCACATGTTCAGTCACATGACTTAAACTTCTTAGCGTGACTTGCTGAGATTAAGTTGAAGATGGTGGATCATTGAATGAGGAACCACTCCATGCATCTTCTTCGTGTTCCTCGTCTTCCACTCTATGCATGACAATGAGACATTGCATATTTTTGTATTTTCTTAAATCTCAAAGCTTGAGACTTCTTTCTCTTTTTCACCTTTTTACGTTGCCTCTTCCACCATATCTTGGCTATTGGAGTGGAATTGAGTTGACCAAACATATCTTCAATTTTTTGTTCGATTCCAAACTCTTCCATAATTCGGTAAGTGAACTACAAGTGGATCTTTGGAAGCATTTAGAGTAAATGAATCTAGAGCCTTAGGATCAATGGATTCAACGAGATGAATTTGCTTCAACACTAGAATTTCAGTAGGGAGTAACCGGTTGGTGAAGGTAGTTTGACTAGTTGGCCCAAGCAAAGGTTCCTCCATCTTTGAGTTTTCGATCTTTTCTTCGTCTTCAATTAGTCCATTCAATTCATTGTCGATCTCCTCCTCACTTCTTAATGTGGTGATAGCATTGTCTTGTTCATGGCACGCATTTTGCTCCATTAGATTAGCTTCAAATTCACTTGGTAACAGTTATTGCCTTGCATTCATTTGGTGTGGACTTGTGCTACTTTCTCAAGTTCTATCACATGGATTGCTGAGACTATATACGTTTGATTGCAGTTGAATATCCTTTCCTTTTTTCCTTAGTAGGGTGTAATATAAATAACATGTAAACAATTGACATAGTTTGGTTCAAAATCTATATATAAAGCCAATAGAAAAGGTGAATACTGATTTTGGTGTCACCAAGCTTCAACAAAAATATTTGGACAAAAATGCCCCCAAGCCAAAACACTTCAAAAACATCCCAAACTAATGCATCAAATAAGGCAGGGTCATTTTTGTCATTTTAACAGTATTTTTTTTAATAATTAATTTTTTTGTGGTTTGTTTTTTGTTTTAATTAGTACCTCACAATAGGCTAGCAATAATGTGATTCAATTTCTCTATTTTAAACACGTTCAAAATATCTTAAGAGGCGTGTAATGCCGGTTATAAAAAAGGTCATTCACACATGGATACTAATGTGATTAAATTAGTTGTCAAATGATTGTTTTTTTTTTAACAAACGATATTATCTACGCTAATGTGGAGGGGGATGATCTTAGCCTCACAATAGGCTAGCAATAATGTGATTCAATCAGTTGTTTATTAAATATTATTTTCTCTATTTTAAACACATTCAAAACATCTTAAGAGGCATGTAATGCCGGTTATAAAAAAAGTCTTTTGCACGCAGATAATAATGTGATTAAATTAGTTGTCAAATAATATTTTTTAACAAACAATATTATCCACACTAAGGGGGAGGGGTGGGCTTAGCCTCACAATGGGCTACCAATAATGTGATTTAATAAATTGTTTATTAAATATTATTTTCTCTATTTTTAAACATATTCAAAACATCTTAAGAGGTGTGTAATGCCAGTTATAAAAAAAAGGTATTTCGCACACAGCTAATAATGTGATTAAATTACATTAAATTAGTTGTCAAATGATTTTTTTTAACAAACGATATTATCTACATTTTCTCTACTCTTAATGTAAATTCTATAGAGACCGATTTTATTATGTGAATTCAGTTGCTTTAATTGGTTTATAAGGGATTTTTTCTAACATGATCTAAGATTATTCATTTACTTCAAATATTTGACTTTCCTTTTATCAATTTACGCATATAAATACATTTAAAACATGTAAGTCACGCGTAACACGCCGTAATTCAAAAAATACCTTCGTCATTTTAATTAGTTTTTTTGTGTTGTTTTTTTTTGTGTGCTATTTTTTTTTAAATTAGTACCTCACAATAGGCTAGCAATAATGTGATTTAATTTCTCTATTTTAAAACATGTTCTAAACATTTTAAGAGGCGTGTAATGCCGGTTATAAAAAAGGTATTTCGCACGCAAATAATAATGTGATTAAATTAGTTGTTAAATGATTGTTTTTGTTTTTTTACAAACAATATTATCTACACTAAGGGGGAGAGGGTGGGCTTAGCCTCACAATAGGCTAACAATAATATGATTCAATCAGTTGTTTATTAAATATTATTTTCTCTATTTTTAAACACGTTCAAAACATCTTAAGAGGCATGTAATGCCAGTTATAAAAAAGGTATTTCACATGCAGATAATAATGTGATTAAATTAGTTGTTAAATGATTATTTTTTTTAACAAATGATATTATCTACACTAAGGGGAATGAGGGGGTGGGCTTAGCCGCACAATGGACTAGCAATAATGTGATTCAATCAGTTGTTTATTAAATCGTATTTTCTCTACTCTTAATGTAAATTTTATAGAGACCGATTTTATTATGTGAATTCAGCTGCTTTAATTGGTTTATAAGGATTTTCTTCTAGTATGATCTAAGATTATTCATCTACTTCAAATATTTGACTTTCCTTTTGTCAATTTACGCATATAAATACATTTAAAACGTGTAAATCGCGCATAGCATGTTGTGATTCAAAAAATACATTTTTCACACTCATGAAGGTTAGTACATAGAAAACAATATGCTCGTTCAAAAAAAAAAAAAAACAATATGCAAAATAAGATGTTCTGATAAACAATACACAAGGATACACATATAGAAAGGTTTAAGACCAATTACAACCATATGTTTTAACAGTCATTCCAATTACACACAAAAACACATATAAAGTAACGCTAACATGTAGACTGATAAAAACTCCGGCAGCCTTGCAGTAGCAGTGGCAGAACAAACAAAAGCATTGCCAATACAGTGAGAACTACAGTTTGGTCGATACATTATTCTGGAAAAGATATCATCTCCGGATCTCTTCCTTCAAAATCAACAGATCAAGTGATCGGAGTTCTTGAAATTTGATCCAACAGCTCTTGAAATCCGGACCCTTGAAAGTTATAATAATTTTTAGTCGTTGAACTAAATTTTAAAAATCCAAATCACTTGATTTGTGGACTTGAAAGAATGTTTTCAGTTGCTGCCAGCTGCCTCTTGCTTGCCTAATTCAAAAGGCCTCTTTTGCTTTTCTCATTTAGCTAAATCAATATGGTCTTTCACAGATAAATGACCCTACATCAGTTTCCACATCACTGCTTATTGCACTTCCGTAGACTAGTTTTTTAAAACTTTATTCAAGAGGTTTGTGGGATAAGTCATTAGCTTCAGAGTGGGGACTGAAACTCATTGCATGCAATATATTATTGTCATGCAAAACATTTCCCACTTTTTTGTTCATTGGTGGCTCCAGTGTGTAGTCCTCTAGCTGAGGTAGATAAAAAGCCAATTCCAAATCTTCTTCTCGTGGAAGACATACCTAGATTAAGAATCATGAACAAGTAAAAAGCTAAGTTTGATTATATTCATAACAAGAAGTTCATATAACAAAATGTTCAAAGAGCATTCTCATTCTCACCTCTGAAATCCTTTTATTCGTAGCTTGATTTTCAAAATTAAATTGTGTGTTGCTAAATTGTTCACACTCATTATTGGTTGAAATATTATTCTTATAAGAATCTTTATTCCAAAATTGTGGTTGACAATTGTTGTAGCCGTTGTTACAGACATCAGCATCCAGAGCACTTCTTGCATATTTTTGTGGTTGAAGATATGACTGCTAGATTAAGAATCACAAACAAGCAAGCATTAAGTTTTTGGTATACATCTTGTGCTCAATATTTAGAAGTAGTATAAAAATGGTCAAGCATAATTCTTCGCACCTCTTGAATCATATCATCTGCATATTGATTTTCAAAATCATATGCAGCGTAGCTAACCGTCTCATTTTCATCATTGGTTGAAATATTATTCTTGTATGCAACATGTGAATAAAAATCTCCAACTCGAGGCTGCCAACATTCATCATAAAGACATCAGTATGCATAAAATCTCCGAATTTTGTGTATGTTGGTGACTTGTGCAATGCGTAACTAGAGCGGACTCATGTCTTTTTGTGGCTAAACACATAATTGGATTAAAAATCACAAACAAGAAGGTTAAGTTTTGATACACTTTTATTAAAGCTCATATTAGAAATATTCAAATAAGTATTTTATTCTCACCTCTTGACACATATCATCTGGAGGTTCATTTTCGAAATCAGACATGGTGAACCAATCACCTTTATCACAGGTTGAAATATCATTCTTATCAGTATAAGAATAATAATGATTATCTCCAAATGGTGATTGCATTGCATTACAATCATAACTAGTATCATTGGTTTGCAGAACATCTCCCGGCTCTATGTATCCTGATGACAGGAATGTAGAGGAACTGCAATCCTGTGACTGAAGTGCATGGAGTGATGCATTAAGTTTGGATAAATTTCACATAATCCATAAGATAAATGTTCAAAAACAAGACGATTCTCATTCTCACCTCTGGAGTCACAACAGCTGCAGCATGATCTTCAACATTAGACACACTGTAGCTGCCAAGTTCAACTTCACCAATTGAGGTATCCTCGTCATCAAATTCTTTCTTCATGCGATTGAGAACAAAATCCTTCTGCATAAGTTGGATAACAATATCATGAGTTATAGAGCAAATTCAATTGTCACACTTCAAAACTACTACTTCATGTATGTTACACACGGAAGCATCAATACGACACAAATGTGAACAAAGAACAAAATAGCAAACTCTGCAATTGAAAAGAGAGTGACCTGACGCAGCTTAGGATTCGAGATGGCTTCACTATCAATGAGACTGTACTCGTGCCTGACCCAGTTGGTTTTTTTCAGCTTGCGTTGAGTGGCACAACGTTGGTAGAATGTCAAGGTCCTCTTCTTCCCAATGAGAGCTTTGGACCGCCGAGCCTTGACCGGACGCTCCTTGCCTGTGATTCTCCACTGACCTCCTGGTGTGGTTCGGTTGGATCGGGTGCTATTGATATACTTGTACTCCTTACGGCTGAAGAAGTACCACACCATATCGTCCGACGGAATGCGAGCTGCAAATTACAACGCAAAAAGAAAACTGAACCAAGAATTGAGGCCAACCCAATTGAAGTCTTGGAAAACCAGTACTAAAAACAGAGTAATTTTTCCCCTTTGGGAACTTATACATAATTGTTAGTGAGAAATTCAACACAATATAAAATCAAAACAAGAAATTGATGCCAACCCAATTCAGTTCTTCAAAAACCAAGTACCAAGTACAAAACGCTATTTTCTTTTATGAAATTTTTCATAACAATGGATTGTTAATGAATAATGAGAAATAAACAGTGAAGAAAGAGTGAGACGAATTGAACAATCACCAGCCAAATCCCAAGGGTCGAAGTTGCAGACGTCGAATTCAGCGATGTGATCAGATTTGAAACCCTTGTCCTGTTTCTTGAGCTTCAAGTAATCCACCATTTCCTCCGGAGTGGGGTGGAATCTGACCCCTACCGCGTCCGAAACCCCTCCTATTTCTCTGTTGCTTCCCAGTGTTCCCATATGTTTCTTTTCTCTCTATGTGTTTGAGTGAAGTTTGAACTGAGAAGAAGGTGCAACTGCAAAGTAACTTATAACTCACTTCAGAATACTCCAGAAGCATTTGATATCACCTCAAAAAGTCTGGTGACGTGCCACGCGTTTTTATTCTCTTTAATTTATTATATTTTGTCCTTTTGATCAACCCCTCTCGGAAGTTTTCCTTTTCTGCGAGACAACCCCTCTTGGCAGTTTAGCTTTTAAGTACTTTTACATTTTGGAATCTGCCCCAAGTCATAAATCTGTCAGAGAATTACAAATCCAAGAGTAATGGTAGGTAGATTCTTACTTTTTTTTTTTTTTTTTTTTTGTATAATATTTTATAATTTTAGCATAAAAGTTGTAAGATTGTGAATTGGCAGGAAATTCATGAGGAGTTTCACTTTGAAAGAGTCTTCTTAGCATTTCTCACAACTCCTAAATCAAATTATAATGAGAAATGCTAAGGAGATTCTCTTAAAGTGAGATTTTTCATAATCCCTTTATCACTTTAGAGTTTAACATTAATTTTTTGTGTCAATATTATAAAATACTATGTAAAAAACATGAGGTGACAAAGAGTCTATAAAGAATTTCACTTTTAAGAGTCTCATTAGCATTTCTCAATAATATAAATGATTTCTACACTAATAATACTTGGCTACTCAATATATAAGTAAGAGCTCCTCCTCAAGACTCTTCATTTTCGATTCATACAACTTTGTATTTATTATTATAACCGTTTATATTATGAATCACTTTGTAAATATTAGCTCTACAAAAATTTCAATTAAAACAAGGTCATTTTGTCATGGAACAACATAAAAATAGATGGACAAAATAGGATAAAAGCATTACATACTGTCTATCTATTTGCCACCTTAGTTTTAATTTCTTTTATACAAACATGATTTTTACAAAGTGATTTATAATATGAAGGGTTCAGATTATAAGCACGAAATTTTGTGAACCAAACAAGAAATTTTTTGCGTAGGGTGTTCTTACTCATTCTTGAATAGCCACGAATTGTTTTTTCTACTCAACTCAATTTTTTCATTTGCACACCTCATTGTTTTTATTCGTTGATTTTCTGTAACTTTTTTTTAACGCAACGATCACAAATGGGTCGTGCATGTGGTGAAAAATGATGTGTTGAAATGGAAAAGGATCCTCGCCGGATCCTTTTCCTAGGGATCCTAGAGATCCCATGATCGTGACCATTCATCGTACATTGTACGGTCAATTTTCGTTAAGTACTATTTATATTTAATTTTAAATTTTGAAATGATTTCTGACCGCATAATATACGATGAACGGTCACTATCATGGGATCCCTAGGAAAATGATCCGTGTTGAGATCTCATGTAATAATACTAGACTTACTCGACTTTCTAATATGGAGTGATTTCTACACATCATTTTGCACCTTCTGCAGTCTCACTAATTTTTATATTTGATCCTCTTTTAATTTGTTCAATTCAATGACTAGAAAAGGAGTTTGTAGGAACTGTAAATGTGTGTGAAAATCATTTTCCTTCGTCTATACAACAACGAATGTATACATTGTAAGTCACGTGATCATCATCTCATATCCTAAGAGAGAAAGAGAACGCGTAATATTCAAATGATTAAACAAGACTTTGACGAATAAGTTTGAAGATAGTACTAAGAAAAATCAAGTTCAGGTTGGTCATCCATAATTTCAATTCTTCAAAACTGCATTCATGTCATCTAGAGTGCCCTTATCCAAGTTTAATCACTTTCTTTCCTCCAGTTTTAACGAGGCAACTGATACTGATATGTGGGCATCCAAGGGGGAGTGTTGTAAATAATGGGTATGTTTGCCCACATGTGTATAGTAATGTATAGTAAAGTATCACATGTGAATAGTAAGTTTTGTAAGTTTCCATTGAAGTGGCTCTATAAATAGAGCACTTAGATTGTTCAAATTAAGTGAAGATCAAGAAGAGAAAAGAAAGAGAAAAACATCTAATAGCAATAATATACATTACTTCCTCTGCAACAGCTTATGTTGGTATAATACTCTGCAACTGCTTCGTTCCTGTCCCGAGTAAAGGTTATATCTCTAAATTTTGCCTATTTATAACACGTTATCAGCACGACTCTCTAATCATTTCTCATTTCCCTTCACCGAAAGAAAAAAAAAAAGTTTCCTCTAAGGTTTTTACTGTTCTTCTTCTTCCTTTGCCTCAATTGCTGGGTATACTCTCGCGAAGTACTGTTTGCACCATGTTTACTTCTAGTTCTCAACCTAACAGTTATTTATATCTTTGATTTTTTGTTTGGTGTAAATCTTGACTACTAACCTAGTGTTTATTTATGCAATCCAAGATGGTGCGGTATCATCGCCTATCTTGGACTGTAGATCTAATTTTACTGCAAATTTTAAGTGGAGCGGTATAATCGCCTGCCCTATCCTGCATATTTAAATTTACCTGTTATTTAATTTTATCGCAATTTTAGGTGGTGTGGAATAATCACCCACTTTGCTCTGCATATTTAAATTTTATCGCAATTTTTAGGTGGTGCGGTATAATCGTCCACCCTGCTTTGCATATTTAAATTTTATCGCAATTTTTAGGTGGTGCGGTATAATCGTCCACCTTGCTTTGCATATTTAAATTTTATCGCAATTTTAGGTGGTGCGGTATAATCGTCCGCCTTGCTTTACATATTTAAATTTTCCTGCTGTTTAAAGTAGTACGGAATAATCGCCCATCCTATACTTGTTTAAATGAGAATGGTGCGGTACAATTGCCCTTTTCATTAATCATGTAAATCTCGAGCCTGAAGCTTCGAGTACTTAACATTTTGGCCCGAAGATCAAAAATTTGTAAGAATTAGAAGTTCTAACAATATATTTCTCCAGAACACATATTATTGCAAGTTCTTACACACTTCATTTTTTTTCAGAAAAGAAAATGGCAAACTTGGCAAAGCTTGATTTTGCTACCCTGGACATTACTGGAAAGAATTACCTTACCTGGGTACTGGATACTAAGATCCATCTGGAAGCAGCGAATCTTGGAGATACCATCAGGGAAGAGAGTAGCTCATCATCTTAAGATCGGGCGAAAGCCATGATTTGTATTCGTCGCCATCTTGATGAGGCACTAAAGAGCGAGTACTTAACGGTTGAAGATCCGTTAGCCCTCTGGAATGCCTTGAGAAACAGATACAATCACCAGACAACGGTGATTCTTCCAAGAACTTGCTATAACTAGACTCATCTAAGCATCTAGGATTTCAAGTTAGTGGCTGAGTACAATTCGGCGTTGTTCCGAATTACCTCTCAGATGAAGCTCTGTGGGGATACTATTACTGAGAAGATGTTATTGGAAAAGACTTTCAGCACATTCCATGCCTCTAACATGCTCCTGCAGCAGCAGTATAGAGCGCGATGCTTCACTGAATACAACTAGCTGATATATGTGCTTCAGGTAGCTGAGCAGAACAATGAGCTGCCGATGAAAAACCATAATTCCCGACCTACTGGATCAGCACTGTTCCCAGAAGTGAATGTTGATTCCCTTGAAAGGAATACCATATCCTCCCGTGGCAATAATTACAAACGAGTACGTGGCCACAAGTAAGGCCGGTGGAAAGGGAAAGGCAAGAACCATGGTGTCCAGTTTCACAACCAATTTCACAACTAGGTTCCAAGGCATAATCCAGGCCCGAACTTTAAAAATGCAAATTGCCATAAAGGAAAAGCTCATATGAACACTCCTAGAAATCCTGAAGGAGTTTGCCATAGGTGTGGCAGACATTGGGCGCATACTTGTCGCACCCCAAAGCATCTGGTGGAGCTGTATCAAGCCTTATTCAAAGAGAAGGGTGTCGAGAGCAATTTCTTCGACCAGGCTCAACCAATGGAAACACTTGATCCAGTGACCAATTTATCAGGACAGTTAAACACAACCCACTTGGATGCTATAGACTTTATTAATGAAAGAGGGAATGAAGTTTATGGGTCCGATTGAATTATTTATGTTTAATGTACTCTTGTTATTTGTACTTGTGGTTTAATGCTTGCATTTTCAATTCAATAAAATTAGTATTCCAGTATGAATAAACTACTTTTTCTTTACTCAGAGATCATGGATAAAAATTATGGTTATTCTCAAAACAAGATCAATGGCGGAGACTTTTGTCTTGCAAACAGTGCAACCACGCATTCAATACTTCGAGATCGCAAGTATTTCTCGAATTTGGTACTTGCAAAAGTAAAGGTAACAACAATATCAGGGCAATCAGATGTAATTGAAGGCTTAGAAAAAAACCCAGATTATGTTACCAAATGGAACAATATTGTCCATACAGAATGAATTATACGCTACTCAATCAATTCGAAATTTGTTGAGTTTTAAAGACATACGTCTAAATGGATACCACATTGAAACGAAAAGTGTAGAAAATGTGGAATATTTATGCATTACCTCCAATGATACCCAGAACTGTATATTGGAGAAGTTACATGGTTTATCGAGTGGATTGTATTATACATACATAAAGACAGTTGAGGCATATACTGTCATGAACTAGAAGTTCATTAATTCAAAGGTTTACATGGTTTGGTATGACCGTCTAGGTCATCCAGGATCTATCATGATGCGTAGAATCATTACCAACTCTAATGGACATCCATTATTGAGCAGACACATTGATGTCTCAAATGATAACCCTTGCAAGGCTTATTCCCAAGGGAAGTTGGTAATTAGACTATCACAACTAAAGGTTGATTATGAATCCCCATCATTTTTGCAAAGAATTCAAGGGGATATTTGTGGACCTATTCAACCACTTTGTGGACCATTTCGATATTTTATGGTTTTGGTTGATGCATCTACCCGATGATCACATGTTTGCCTATTGTCTACTCGAAATGTAGCTTTTGTGAGACTTCTTGCTCAGATAATTAAGTTGCGAGCACAGTTTCCAGATCATCTAATTAAGTCAATCCGACTTGATAACGCTGGTGAATTTACATCTCAAACCTTTAATGATTACTGTATGGCACTGGGCAT